AAAAAAAAAAAAAAAAAAAAAAAAAAAAAAAAAGAACGTGTTTGGCGTGGGTACATTATGGGCCTCTCACTGCTACTGATGATGCTAAATTTGATCTCTTGGTTAAAGTGGTGTCCTTCAGATCTACAAATGTCCATTTTCTACTTTGCAATTAGGAAGTCATTTGTGAGGTAATACTTTGAGACTGTGTCATATCTTGTTCCCTAGAGACATGTCAACAGATGGATTTAGCATCTACTGATGACCTTCACGTTCACTGATCACCGATTATCATAGTAAGCGGTTGTAATGTACTGCTTTTCTAATTTTTCATTTCTCCTGCATTTGTAAATTATCATTTTTCTGTACAGAAGAACTTCTATTTCCCGTTTCTCTCCTCTGCCCCTCTCTTTCTGTATTATTGTGGACACACGGATTTTCTAATCCATTATGTTATAACTTATAATTGTTATTATTCCTTTTGATGCTCAAATGGTTCAAATATGACCAGTGGGAACATCCCTTCAAGTCAATTCCTGTACCCTTCAACATACCCCTATCATTCTTTGAACACTTCCTTGCTTCCTGGCACAAGATGTCCCAAGATCAGTTTGAATTTATGCTGCCTTAGACCTGGAATAGTTCTTTTTCTAACAAGCCATGGAATTAATTTTTGAGCAAGGAAGTGACATGAACCAATAAATGATTTTGGAAAATTACTCCGGCAGTGGTGGCATACCAGCCAGAAGTGAGAAAGCCCCCAGATAAGAATTCCATGTGGAGAAAACGTCAAGTTGTGGCAACAAAGACACACACTGGACAAAAAGACATTGAGGAGGAAATGAGTAGCTGGAGATGGGCTGAAAAAAATTCCAGAGTTTGGGACGTGAGTGAAAAGGAGACAGAAATAGGGATGCCAAGAAAAGCAGTATTGTTTGGGAGAAAATTTAATTTAGTTTAAAAAATGTCGATTTCAAGTGAGAGTTGGGTGGCCAAACGGAAACATGCAGTGGCCAGTTGATAAATTCAAAAGCTGAGACCAGAAAAAGAACAAAAAACCTGCAAGTTATGGAACAAAGTTTATATCAAATTATATTTCTTTGCTTGGAGTTATTTTATAAATGTAACATCAATACATGATCATTATGGAAAATCAGAAAAAAAGTATTTTAAAAACACAAAGAAGGAAAGAACAGTTATGCATTTTTCCTATTTGATACTAGTAACCTCATTGGCAACTTCATATATGATGGAAAGCTCTTTCAAGTTACGTTTTCATATTGATTGTTAGTATATATGTAGACATGTATAAATTACAATCTAATGAGTGGATACAATTGCACAATCGAAGCAAGCCTCAAAATAAAGTGGGAATAAGAATCTCTCTGACTCATAGTGTCATTGTCCGTAAAATGTAGATGATGTAGATGGTTACAGTGCCTACATAATAGGGCTGTTTCAAAAATTAAAGGATACAATGCATATAAAAATTATTTGAAAAGTGAAAAGCATAGTCAAAATCTTATCTATTATTTCAAGTGCCCTTATTTGGCCAGTATTTGTTTTCCAGGGATAACAACCCACAGAATGTTGGCAGAAGATGCGACCCCACAGAGGAATGGGGTTCAGGTCGCGCTGCTCCAAAATATGGCACCTTGGCATACTAATATCTTAAGCCAAAGGAGTTGGTGGAAATGGCGGAAGCAGGAAGTTCACTCTGGCCTCCCCGACCTTCTCACCCTTCTTCCCTGAAACAGGTCATAAAACGTCCAGGTGAAAGATGCCCTCCCTGTACCAGGAGGAAGGAAGACATTCTTAGTACCAGAGACTAAAATTTGGGGCCAAGAACTCTGTATAAATAAATGTTGTTTAACTAAACCTTATTTTCCTAGTTACTTCTCCACCTTTTTCTATCCCTAACCCAAATCTCTCTGTCTTGTCAATTCTTCACAAAGTTATTATTTCTTTATCTAAAAAGTTTAGATGCTTCCTGCTCTAGTCACATCTTCGGGGTCTTCATTCTCTTGTGAAATCACACACGTACATGTAAAAATTCAATAAAATTTGTATGCTTTTCTCATGTTAACCTGTCATCAGATTAATTTTCAGACCCAACCAGGGACCCAAAGAGGGTTGAGGAAGCTTTTTTTCTCCTCTACAAAATGAATCTTAGATGACCTAAATTTCCATTCTAGAGCTTCAGAAGTTACAAACTGGTGCAGACTCAAATCTGGCCTGCAAGATGTGTTTTATTTAGTTTAAATGAGAATTAATTGCCAACATTTTATAGTTGTGAAGTTTTACTTAAAACTCCATATTTCTGGGGCTTCCCTGGTGGTGCAGTGGTTGAGAATCTGCCTGCTAATGCAGGGGACACGGGTTCGAGCCCTGGTCTGGGAGGATCCCACATGCCACGGAGCAACTAGGCCCGTGAGCCACAGCTACTGAGCCTGCGCGTCTGGAGCCTGTGCTCGGCGACAAGAGAGGCCGCGACAGTGAGAGGCCCACGCACCGCGATGAAGAGTGGCCCCCGCTTGCCACAACTAGAGAAAGCCCTCGCACAGAAACGAAGACCCAACACAGCCATAAATAAATAAATAAATAAATTAAAAAAAAAAAAAAAAAAAAACTCCATATTTCTATTTCCTATTGAAAATTGAGAATTATTGCCCAATATTGTAGTGGTAGCAATTGGCTGGACCTGAGTAGCAGCTCCCTCTCTTCCTTAAATAGAAAATTTGCTCTAATGTCTACATATTTCACATATTTCACAGCCATCAGGTATTTTGGCATCTGGGGGCATATCAGTTAGGACCCCTATCCTAGAGCATACTTTGAAAGAACCAAGCAGAAAATCCAGGGAACCCTCCCTCCCTTCCTCCTGCTCTTTCCACTGAGATGCCAGTCATCTCATCCAATGTTGACTATAAGACAGTGTCCAGGCTCTACACTATTTCTAGCATCCATTTGTGCTGGAGATGCTAATAATGAGTTAAGGCAAATTGAACACATGGATTTTTATTAGATACTTAACGGTACAAACATTTCTTTTCTAGAAATTCCCTGAGTACATAGGTTAAAATTTACCTGAATCCATTGCTTCACCTAGACCATTTTGAAAGCTTTTCTGTAGTATAATACCAACAGTTACTGGGGGATGTTTGATTCAATTGGTTATGAAAGTAGACTCACACACACACACACACACACACACACACACACACACAGGGAGAGTATTTTGGTCTTCTAATTCTTCCCCACTAGGGGCACAATGGTGAATTAAACAACAAATTTAATCTTCCAAAAGCAACAGTCAAAGAAAGTAAGCCATACCATCTTGGCCTCATATTTATATGTAATTGCACCTCGGACCAACTAAGTCAGAGTCTCTGGGGGTGGGATTCTAAGGCCAAGCTCCCAGATCACTGCAATGTGCAGACAACATGTGGAACCACTGCTGCAAGGAATGCCTCCGAGACCTCTGGCAAAGCTCCTCCTAGTTAATGAATCATATTCTCTTTGAGTCACAGGTGACTCATCTATAAAACAGGAGTAGCAATGATATAATTCATTGGGTAAATGTGAACAAACTATGAAGCGCTATGCAAATATGAATAAATGATGATGACAGGAGGAGGGGGAGGTGGATGATGGTGGAAATACAGGAACCCAGTGCCTATGTGTTGAGCATAGGCTTAGAAAATGTGGTTGTATTGTTCTCTCTTGACTCTATTTTAATTATCTTTAAAGTTCTAGCTTTAAAAATGTACATCATATATACCCAACTCTGAGATAAATCTAATGCTGTGTGAAAGAAGCCAGAAACAGAAGACCAATACTGTATGATTCTATTTATATAAAATACAAACTAATCTATAATGACAAAAAGAGATCAACGATTATCTTTTGGGGGTGATGGAAATGTTCCATATCTTGACTATGATGGTAGTATCATGGGTAGAGTTAACTGTCAAAACTCATGGAACTTTACACTTTTAATGGATGGCATTTATTATATGTAAATTAGTCTTCAATAAAGTTGATAAGGGGAAAAATAGACTCACGGGAACACAGTTAGGAATAGGTAATCTTATTTTCTAATTTCATGTATCTTTAAATCTTGAATTGCTAGAAGAATATCAGTAGAACAAAAGTGGAGGAAAACTGTAGACAAAATAGATAATATTTGGAGGAAACTCTTGGGCTCTGAACTGAAAGGATGATGGAGAGGGTACAATAGTGTCAATATTTTCACGTCTCCAAGTGAGAGGAAAGAAATCCAGAACACACTCAACCATTCTCAAAATACTATTGTTCTTACCATGTATTTTTTGCTGCAGTTTTCACTCTGGCAACATTTATAGTTGTTATCATTCTCCAGTACAAGAAGAATTGCTGCTACTATAAGCATCTATAGTAGGGAAGAGAAAAAACATCAGAAATGGAATACTAGTTTGCATTCATGCTCATAATCAGAGCACAGTGCTTCAGAGCATAGACTCTGGGGTCAGGTAGCTCTGGGTTCAAATCCCAGTTCTGCCACTTAATAACTGTATGAACTCCAGAGTCCTTTCCTACAAAATGGTGTTGAGAACTCACCTCTTTGGGTTGTTATGAGCTATTGTATGTAAAATTTTGAATAGTGTGCTTGATTCATAACATGTGATTCATAAATGTTAGCTGTTATTATAGTTATCAGTTATCAAAAGCTAATGATTAAGGAGGGGCAAATGGTATGGACATGAGAATACCACCCTCTGCAGCAAGCATGCACTTCTCACTGACTCAGTTGTGGAGGACAAAGGAAAACCATTCACCAGACTTTGCCATTTGCCAGCCTCTTTCTGTTTACTGCCCTCTGGGAATGCAGGTGAAAGGTATGGTTACTCTGAAACTAAATCTCTTAATCCAAAGTAAAGTAAATTCAATTTCCCCGAGTATTCAGATAATCTTAGATTCAGATTTTCCAGTGGGTTTTGTCTGTATGAAGCCAACAAACTGGGAGAATTCAGTGTATTCTACTTCCCTTTCTTGGTATCTTAGAGAAAGGACTCAAGTTCCAGAAAGAACATGGATTCCTTTACTATTGGGTTGGCTAAAAAGTTCGTTCAGGTACAGAAAACCCCGCACTATCTTTTTGGTCAAACCAAGATTATAGTCCTTGGTTTGGGCAGGTATGGACCGTGAATTGCTTCTGGCAAATTCTCCACCTATCCTTTCCTTCTACTGTTCAGTACTGAATCTTGTAGTTGAGTTCATTGTTATTTTACTCCTTGTACTGAATATTTCCAGTTTCCAAATTCCTTCAGCCATCATTTATTTATCTACCCATTTAATTATTTATCTATATTCCTCTCCTTTCTCCAAAAAGGATTTGATCTTGAAAGAATATTTTTCAAGAATTCCTAGACAGTGAAAACTAGAGGATAGGTTCTTTTCACGGTTTTAAATTTTACATGGAATATAAGCAAACAGTCCTACTTTCTCCTCCTTTCAACACCATTAATTAACACAATTTTAAAGAGATTCTGGTTTAACTTTAGTAATGTCTTGCAAATCTTCCACTTATTACAGTTCTATATTGAGGGAAACAATGACAAGATAAGCCACAATAAACCAGGTGCAGTAACCAGCTTCATTACAATATTGTTAGAAATAATTAAACCTAGACCCTAGAGTCCTGTGCCAAAGGAGAAACACAGGCATAGCCCATGTTTAAAGAGAAACTTCTCTCCCTTTTTGTTGTAAAATATAGCTGCAATACGGAGGGCTCAAGAATAATGGAGGAAAATTACCCAAAATACCACTACTCTCACATGTTTTTAAGTATGTACTCCCACATGTGTATATTTTACATAATTTCAATCATAATGTATTCACAATTTTGTTATATCTTTTTTCACTTAATATAAAATAACATGTGTTTTCCATGTGGCTACATGTTCATAACTACAATTTTCATCCTTTATAAAGTGAATGGACCATAATCTATTTTGCCATGTCTATGCTAGGATGCTTCTAGTTTTTTGCTATTATAAATAATGCTGCCACAAATATCTATGTATAAATTTCTTTCCTTATTTTGGATTATTTCCTCAGAACGTATGCTCAGATTTAGGATTACCAAGTCAAAAGACATAAGCATTTTCATGGATCTTAATATATCATATGAAAAATTTCTCCCAAAGCCTTGCATTTATTTATAGTACCACCACCAACAGTCATTATGTACCTAGCACATAGCACCTTCAGCAGCATTGTATATTCATATTTCAAAGTCTATTAATTTAACGTGCAAAATGACAAATAAATGAAACTGCTTTCCAACATATTTATTCAAATATTATAATAATTAAACACCCACAAAGATGTAGAGATAGATTATAATGGGTTTTTTTTTTTTTTTTTTTTTTTTTGCATTCTTGTTGGTATAGAAAGCTTGCAGTGCACAGTGTGGTTTTTTTTTTAGAAATGATATGATCAGGAAAAACTTCTTTTCCTCTGAGTTGCCAACATGATTTACTATCAGTTTGTTTTTACAGAGCACAAAGTCATCAGAAAAACATCCATGGATTCTTACTGTGGATACTTTGATTTAGTTTTCAAAAACACCCACACAAAGACATTGAGTAACTTGCTTTAAGGTCTCATGACACAAATGACAGAGCTTAGACTGGAACTCAAGTTTGTCTGAATCTTCAAATCTCTGCTTTTCCCACTGTCTTAATACCACTCCAAGCTAGAGAAACCCTGAGTACAGACAGAAAATCCGTTCTAGGAAGAGCAATGCCACTGGAGGTGAAATAGCATAAGTTGACACACAGCTTTCAGGAGGATATAATTTTTCTATAGGCCAGTGTCCCACCAACTTTCCTTAGGACTAATTTCCTGCATTGCTGGAGCTACATAAATAAGCAGCTTACTGAAAACAAAGCTACCCTCCAAGTCCTCATGGACTACCTGCCTTTTTACCCCCATCCATCTTCCAAACCCAAACCAAGGATTAGAAGAATGATTTTTCCATGATTCATCATTTTCACTAGGAACAAGTTAATGCTTAGTAAAAACTCCCCCTTCTGCAATCCCAAGTCTCCAAAGTCACACTTACCATAATACCTGAGAAACAGATTCCTTCAAAATACCAGACGTAGTTGGTGAGTTTATTGCTGGATGCATAGGAAACTTGCCCATTGGGGAAATACAATAATATGTTTACAATTATACTCCAAAGTGCAAGAGGAATCAGCAGACTACTCAGGCAGCTTCCACATTTCCAAGACCCCATGTTACCCTGCTCAGAACCTGCAGGAGATTTCAAGAGTGTAGAATTACATCAAGCCTGTTTTTCTTCCTTACCTGTCTCCCCCCTGCCCCCTCCCCGAGATTACCTACCACTTTCTGGGTCAGAGCCCTTCAGTTCATATTCATGAGGAGCCCAGGACTCGGACAGAACTGCAGCCTGCAATCTGTCGGTGTGGAAATAGTGGTTTACTGTTTGGAGAACAATAGACAAAGATCAACGGCTGAAAAGCTGAGCTGGTCTTCATCCTGTGCCAAAGGAATGTGGTGTTTTTACTGCTTTTTAAAATAAGTCATTTTCCTCTGGATTAGAGTACTCAAGACTGAATCCTGGGCATGTTTGCAGAAGGAAGTTGGAGGGGGGCGGTTGGAATGGAGTCTGGCAAATTTCACCCCACGGTGGACAGCGGGGTTAAAGAGAAAACTACCAATGGATCTTATACTGACACTAGATGTGCGGTTTGCTTAAATATTCTGACTTTATGTATCTGTCTTTTATTCAGTGTTCTTTATTGTATGCTCACTATTCACCAAGCACTGTTTAAACTGCAGGGGGCACAAAAAGGACAAAGAAAGGGAAAGACTGGTGAGTTAGGAAAACAAGACATCACAGTTGATGAGTTTATTGTTATAAGACTGGAACAGCTTTCCTCTAAAGAGTTTACGTCTATTATCTCTACCTCGCAATAAAATAATAACAGGAATAAATTCATATCTCTTACTGCCTAGGAAAAAGAGGTTAAAAAAAAGTTGGGTAATTTGATTAAGCCTTTACGAGTAATAAGTCTGAAGCGAATTTAGGAATTCTCCCTTCCAAATTATTATTATTTTTTAAACATCTTTATTGGAGTATAATTGCTTTACAATGGTGTGTTAGTTTCTGCTTTATAACAAAGTGAATCAGCTATACGTATACATATATCCCCATATCTCTTCCCTCTTGCGTCTCCCTCCCTCCCACCCTCCCTATCCCACCCCTCTAGGTGGTCACAAAGCACCGAGCTGATCTCCCTGTGCTATGTGGCTGCTTCCCACTAGCTATCTATTTTACATTTGGTAGTGTATATAAGTCCATGCCACTCTCTCACTTCGTCCCAGCTTACCCTTCCCCCTCCCTGTGTCCTCAAGTCCATTCTCTACTCCCTTCCAAATTATTGCCCTAAATTTAAAGAGCTACAGATCCCTGTAGTTCTGATGACATAAGGAGAGGATTATGGGAAGGAATCTTGGCACTAATATGTTAAAGATAATGTAGACAGTGGTGTAAGGAATTCAAGGGTTGGAAAGCAACTATACTCCAATAAAAATTAATTAAAAAAAAAAAAATTCAAGGGTTGGGAATTCCCAATCAGTGGTTAGGACTCTGTGATTTCACTACCAAGGGCCCGGGTTCAGTCCCTGGTTGGGAACTAAGATCCCACAAGCTGCGTGCCACAGCCAAAAATGAAACAGAACAAAACAAAAGGATTCAAGGGTTGCCTGACCTCATTGCCACTTTCTGCTGGTAACCTCAGAACCCTGCTTAACTTAACTTGCTCAAGTCTCAACTTCCTAAGTTGTGAAATGGGGATTAAAAAACAGTACCTTCCCCACAAAGATAATGTGTGGGTTAACAGGATTATGTGTGCAAAACACAGTATCAGGTGATAGAGAAAGAGCAGGCAGTAAATGGAAGCTGTCATTAATAATAAAAAAGCAGTTATAGGAACATAATGGTCAAAATGGTACAGAGATCAGAAGTAAAGTCTGCTTATTTATTCCTCTCAATACCCAAAGAGTTTTGTATCATGAACCCTGACAATATTAACCCTAGAAGTATTTATGTTTAATTTGAATTATCCTCCAGAAAGTATTAACACTCCATAACATAACTGCTTTTTTTTTTTTTTTTTTTTTTTTTGGCGTTCCGCGGGCCTCTCACTGCTGTGGCCTCTCCCGTTGAGGAGCACAGGCTCCGGACGCGCAGGCTCAGCGGCCATGGCTCACGGGCCCAGCCGCCCCGCGGCCTGTGGGGGCTTCCCGGACCGGGGCATGAACCCGTGTCCCCTGAATTGGCAGGCAGGTTCTTAACCACTGTGCCACCAGGGAAGCCCAACATAACTGCTTTTTTTTTTTTTTTGGCGTTCCGCGGGCCTCTCACTGCTGTGGCCTCTCCCGTTGAGGAGCACAGGCTCCGGACGCGCAGGCTCAGCGGCCATGGCTCACGGGCCCAGCCGCCCCGCGGCCTGTGGGGGCTTCCCGGACCGGGGCATGAACCCGTGTCCCCTGCATCAGCAGGCGGACTCTCAACCACTGTGCCACCAGGGAAGCCCAACATAACTGCTTTTAGTTCAAGAGAATAAAACCTTATTTTTATATGAATACTTTTAAATTGTATTATACTTATATTTTTTAAAAAATGGAGCTACTTGGAGCCACATTCAGATTCAAATAAAACAAACTAGAAACTAGTAGTCAAACTATGGTGGGTTCCAAAGAGGTTTCGTGGCACCCCCTAATGGATGTGATTTTTTTTTTTCTTCCTCTAGTGTTTTTAGCAAAGTGCACCAACAAAGTCTGGTCACTAGATTCCGTACCCCCTCCCCCCAGGGACACAGAAGCAACCTAAAATCACATTTACTAGAGCTTTCGGGATGATGGGGAGAGCAACAACGTCTTTGGTTGAATATTTATTGAGTACCTCCTATGTGTCAGGCACTGTTCTAAGGGTTGGGGAGAGAGATCAGTGAACAAGAAAGTCCAAAATCCTTGCTCTCACGCAGCTTACATTCTACTATAGTGGAGACTAACAATAAAAAATATGTATAAGTAAAACATATAGCTTATCAGGTAGTGGTAAGTGTGGCTAAAATAAGTCAAGGAAGGACAAACAAGAGTGCCAGAGAATGGGGCTGGGGATGTCATTTCTAATGGGGTGGTCAGGGAAGATCTTGCTGTGAAGGTGACATGAGCAAAGAGCTGAAGGGAGCCGAGGGTGTGAGCCCTGTAGAGAACTTGAGGCAAAGCACTGTAGGCAGAGAAAATAGCAAGTGCGCAAAAGCACTGAGGTAGAATGAACCCCAGTGAGGAGACTACTGTCGCTGCAGCCAAGAGAGGGAGGGGAAGAGCAGTAATATCCGAGATTAGTTTTGAGTAGAAAAATGACACGTTAAAAGGCTCACTCTGGCTGCGGTGTTGTGATTAGGCTGTGAAGGGTATGGGTGAAAGAAAGGAGATGAAGCCATTTCACCAATCCAGGCTTCCCATGGGAGACAGTGGCTCAAACCATGACAGTAGTAGCAGAGATGGTGAGAAAAGGCTAGATTCTATCTATATTTTGAAGATAGAGCCAACAGTATGCGGTGACAGCTTGAATGGAAGAGAAAGAGAGGAGTCAAAGATGACCACGTGGTCTGGGGCCTGGGCAAGGGGAAGAATGAAGTTGTCATTTACTGAAATGAGCAAAACAGCAGGTTGAGCAGGTTTGGAAGGGGAAGATGAGGTGGTCAGTTTCAGACATCCCAAGTTCTGAGACACTTATTAGAAATCCAAGTGGAGATGCCAATTAGGCTGTTGGATACACAAATACAAAGCTCAGGGAAGAGGTCTGGGATGGAGTATGTGAGAGCTGTCAGTGTATACATGGTATTTAAAGACATGAAACACTATGCATGAATGAGTGTAGTTAGGAGAGAGACCCAAGGACTAGGTCCTGGGAAGTCCAGTGAACTGAGTTTGGGGACAAGAGGGGGAATCAGCAAAGGAGACCGAGAAGTGGCCAGTGAGTTAGAAGAACCAAGAGCTTATCCTGGAAGTCGAGTTCCTAGTTGAGAAAGAAGGGATCAATTAGGGTTAGGGCTGCCTACAGAGCGAGTAATGTGGGAGAACTGAGAAATGGCTATTGGACTTAGCAATGTGGAGGTCATCAATGAGCTTGATAGGAGGACCCTTAGTGGTGGCACAGACATGAGTCCAACTGGAATGGGTTCGTGAGAGAATGAGAAAAGAGGAACTGGAAACAGAGAGAAGAGGTAACACTTTTGGAGAGTTTAGCTGGAGGCAAAGTGGGAGTCCAGGGAAAAAGTTTAAAGGAAAAAATTATAGCACATTCCTATACTGATGGGAATATTCTTCTTGAGGGTTGGGGAGGGGAGGGGAGTGGAAGAGAGAAACTGGGGAGGATTGCTAGAGCTGTGTTCTTGAGTAAATGGGAAGCAGTGGGAGTGTGTGCACAGATGGAGGAGCTGGCCTGAGCTAGCAGCCTGGGCAGCTCTGTCTTAGGAACAGAAGGAAGACAGAGCATAAGGAATTGGAGGTGTGGGAACTTCTGATTGCTTCTGCTTTCTCAGTAAAACCAGAAGCAGGCTTATCAGCTGAGAATGAAGACGGAGAGAGGGTGTTACAGGTTTGGAGGGAGAGGAGAAGGTGTGAAACAGTTGCCTAGGAAAGCAGGATGGTGAAAGGTCTAGAGAGATGTGGCAGATGCTGGCAGGCACTGGGGGCCCTCTTGAGGTCATGAATTTATAGTGAGACTAGGCAGCATGGTCAAGCGCTTTTCCCAGTGCAGTTCAACTGCAGAGGTGTGGGCAGAGAGTAGTAAGAAAGCTGGAATCAACCAGGATTGGGAGTTTGCCAGGCAAGTACCATAAAGAGAGGGAAGGGGACAAAGGAATCAAGAATATATATAAGAGAGTGATTATAGTGATGGACTGTGGAAGGAAGAAGGAAGGAAGGAAGGACATGAAAGAATATGAGGAACAGTAAAAAAGGGATTGGATTTGTAGATTGTGTGTCCCAGTGTGGTTGAAGGATTACTGGTTTTCAGTAGCAGAGATATAAAGAGCTGGAAAGATGCAGTTGTAAGCTATTACATATGGAATGGATAAGCTACAATGTCCTACTGTATAGCACAGAGAACTATATTCAGCATCCTGTGATAAACCATAATGGAAAAGAATATAAAAAAAGAATATATATATATATATATATATACATATATATATATAACTGAATCACTTTGCTGTACAGAAATTAACACAACATTGTAAATCAACTATACTTCAATAAAAAAATGGAAACAAAAAAGATCTGGAAAGATAGAAGGCAGTGATTGGGAAGAAGGGATGCTGGAATTAGAGATTAAGATGTTTCAGTAATTGGTGGAGACAGTCTAGAGGTATATTTTGGGCTGAATTTTGCTCCCTTGAAATTCATATGTTGATGCCACATGACCTCAGAATGTGACTATATTTGGCGAGAGGGCCTTAGTTAGAACAAGGC